TAAAAAGAAAGTAGACTTTGAAGTCCTTGTTTTACAAAGAACTGCTTACAGTTAAGATGTAGTTGAACCCCAACTCACGCTTTGGTCCAAAATTGCAAAAACTCTGTTGTTGGCTAATTTTTAGTCACAATGTACATGTACCTGAAGTCACCTGTGAGGCCCAAGCCCTGATGATAACTCCTCTGCCTTAATTTCAAACAGTAAAATTACTGCCAGCCTGCCTGGCCCACAACGGGTCAAGAACCCAGTTACATCGTGCGACGATCCAATCTTACAGTGCTTTCACCTTTCAAATCTCCACCGTCCATGTATGTGCACACCAATCAAGTTAGATGCATTAGACTAGCCCCTAGTGCCTTGTGCGCTGACTAACATCCACAAGGCGATTAAGCACAATTGTGCATTTAAGTAATTGGGGGGTTTTTTTTCGGTATGTCTTATGCTTTGAGACAGTGTATTCTTCTTGTTCCGGTAGCATGAAATGGTAACAGTTTTGGAACAACTTCAGAGCACGAAAAAGACATTTTCTGAATGAAAGGGATGGTGTTTGCTCAACGAAGGTGTGCCTTTTACCGTGTGAAATGAACGTAGGGAATGAGATGCATCGATATATTGATTCTACGTACCTCAGTGGATTATGCTGTAAATTTAATTGTTTGCAGTGGTTGGAGAGGGTTAAGGAATTGGAACATATTTTGAAAGACAAGACTTTGCTCTTTCCTCTTGTTCCTCATTTGCCATTTTATTAAGTCTTCATTTTTTTACACCAATGTGCTGTCTTGAAGTTCCGAATCAGAGAGTTAGTAGATGTACTGGGAATAAAATGGAAAATTTGCCCTTCATCTCAGACTCGTGGTACAAAATCCCGCCATGAATTATCTTTGTCAGGCAAATCACCAGCTGGACTTTGGACATCACAGGCTGGACGTTTACTTTCTGAAATACTGCAAAGTCAGTTGGAACGGACACAAATGGGCTTCCACTTGCAAAAGATCTCGGCGGCAAATTACACTAGAGATGAAAGCTTCTCTTTCTTGCGCATGTGTCGAAGCGTTTCTCAGGAATCAGTCGCAAAACTAATGAACTGAAATTGTACAATGTGCCTACTTTATAGGTCAAACTGAATGATGAGTCTCTCTCTTCCAACGGGGACAAAAGTTCAATGATATGAGCACATCATCAGCTTCATCTCGTGCAATTCCGCATCAGAGAGACTTGAGTTCCAAACAGTGAGGCAATTTAATTCATCATTTTCTCATCATCCTCCCCAACACCTCTCATCATCGGCCGGCTGATAGGATGAGAAACCATCTCACCTGAACTTCCGTCGATCCGTTCATCGGGGGCCACTATGACTAATGACTTGGGAGAGGTTACAAGGTAGGCTGGACCGGGTCGTGTGTTAAGGCATAATTATGTCTCTTTTAATATTAGGGGCCGGATCCATTGAGTAAATTGTTTGCTTGATGAAGGGGGGGTGCAGAAATCAATCAGGTAATGACCTGGCAAATGGTAGAGTGCTCGAAATCAATAGAAGCATGAGAAGTGGGAAAGACCGTCGACTTTCAAAAAGAAAAGCTCATCAGAATCAGCAATAATTTAGAATTAAAGGTGTGCTACAGCTTTTTATTCCCACTCCGAAGGTGTGGAGCGTCGGAAGGGAAAGAAAGGCCAGCCATTATTTTCAAATTATTGGAAATTAATCTCTTCAGATATGAATTTGAAACCTCGGCATAACGGCTCATCCTTGTAGGGAATTCTCCAACACAGGCAGCTTCCATTACCAATCAAGTTGATTAATGTCCTCTGTAGTTTCCGTACGTGGTTATCAATTTCAGATTAAGTTCCAGCCCCAACTTTCCTCGGCACAACCCGATAAGCCATAGAAGAAAGAAGATGTTTCCTGGTGATGCCTCCTGGTACAGAAGTGCACTCTGGTAAGTCTGTTTGCTTGCTTCCTACCTGTGTCTTGTTCAAACAGCTTTCCTATTTTCATGGTCTCAAATCCATCACTGAGTTGGTGCCCTGCAAGCCCCGTGGGAACAGGGGTGCCTTAGGCTCTGTAGCACTGCCAACTTTTGGATGGGGCGGATATACACCTGCACTCCCTACATGTACATGTATACTTAGGTACCTGTGCATTTTGCAGAGGGCACTTACGGGCCCCTTATTTTCTGGTGGGTAGCTTGCATTTCAAGAATTGGGTCAGTTGAATCACCAACCAAGGCAAACTGTCGTAAGATTCTTTTTCCAGGAGGAGGGGGCATGCCCCCAATGGCCCCCTCCCTAATTACACCACTGCCCCTACATGTATTTTAGCAGACAACCCTGCGACGCCTCCCCTCCACTCCCGGCAAAAGCATTCCAGCAGGCTTGGTTGGTTCTCCTATCTGTACCGACCTGTGCCGAGACCCAGTCATCCACTGAAATGACGATGCCAGTCCATTGTCATAAACCAGACAACAGATGCACGTAAATATCTACACGTATCTCTTGTGACTCTGGCGTCATCCGTTCATCGGTCATGTCTTGTTCTTGTCAGCACTTAAACATCTGTGCCAAGCACAAGTCCAGAGGAGAGAACATACATTGTAGTGTTGCTTTGACTGAATTTGTGGGGGCAGTTTTCGTAATCTACATGTAAATCTAATTAAACTTGTAACACATGTATGTTGCTCATGGCCAGTTCATTTGTTCCATCCTAAACAAAAATTTCTGTCATCCCCAAAAGGCATTCTAAAATTGTTGAACTTTTTATTTTTGATGGCATTCTGTGATTTGTTTGAAGGAATGCTGTGACCCTTAGTATTTTAATAATATCATAGTCAAGCGGTCATTTAAAACAAAAATTTTAAAAAAAGTGTGTTTTACTTTTTCAGTTGTTGCTTTTCAATCAGTGTCAAATTAATCATGTAGTTGGAAACCAACTTGTGGCATACCAGTATCTTGAAGATACTTCACGTAGTTGGAAACCAACTTGTGGCATACCAGTATCTTGAAGATACTTCATGTTGTTGGAAACCAACTTGTGGCATACCAGTATCTTAAAGATACTTCCAAGGTAAACTTGTCCAGTCCTCCAGAAGTAGCATTTGTAGTCTCACTGATCATCATGTGGAAATCAATTTCAAATTCATCAAGTCATACAAACAGCATCTGTTTCTTCAAATCATGGTGAACATGTTTTTTTTATATATAACGGGTTTGCCCTTACNATTGTGAGCGAGGAGCTTTGGCAAATCTCCACCTGCAACTCGGTGACATTTCCTAACCCCCAAAATGAAAAGCCAGAGAGTCTTCCCAGTCTAGTCGGAGCCAGAGAGGGGTTATATCTCTCCCAACTACCAGGCAGTCACTGACAGACTGTCATGTCCCAGAGTCTTGGGGGAGAATCACTGACCTGTGTGGCAGTCAGGAGAGAATAGGGGTGGTGAAAGAGGCACTCTGTCTGCGTGGGATTAATCAGCTGAGATGTAGAAGGTTCTCCATGGCCTCTTGATTAGCTTTGTAATGGGAAGGCACCGGATACAGTTTGCTATCATTGTTGCTACTTATTGGATCTCTTAAAAAATGATTACCGGCTTTTTTTGCAGTTGGTAAATTTTTCGCTTCTGTTGTACTACTCATCTCAGATTTTGTTAATTCTCTGAAAGAATTTTTTGGATCTAGTAGTGCCGAAGAATGGCCTCAAATGTACCACTTTATAGAGGGTTTGCATAGCTGCCATGTTGCAGGCCAGTGCTTTTGTTTTGCCAATATGCACAAGGTTCTCCTGTGGAACAGAAGAACTGCCTTGCAAGATGGCTACCACGCAAAGCCTATATACTGAACTGAAAATTTGGATTTCTACTGTACATACACAGTACATGTATGTCTTCATGTCAGCAGGTTGGTTTTCAGTTTTGGAGTTGTCTTGTAATCCTCAAATTATCTAACAGTTCATGATCCCAATCAATGCTGTGTGAGGAAGTTGAGTGTTAGAAAGGAAAAAAAAGTGAACCTTTAGAACAAAAGAATTCAGTGGTGCTATTTTCTACCCATAAACACATCACATGGGGGATAGTGTAGTTTTTTCAAGGTTAACATGTATTTTGCCTGACTCTCCACTTCAGTTCAACTCAGTATTGGACATAACTGTCATTCAGTTTCTGTCTGTGCTTGTGGGGGGGTTTACTGTGGAGATGCTAAGATTACTTGATGGACACCTTCTGCAGGTAGGCTCATTTCTTACTTCAGAAGTCATCTATATGGTGATTTGTAAATAGATCTTCATCACTACAAACCGGCAGGTTGTTATTGAGGCTGTAAAAGGGTGCGTTTTCAGGGGCATTTATGATAGCTTCTCTTTCACATCCATACATCACATGAGGGTTACTTTCTCAAGTGCATACTTCATGTTGATGGAGAGCTTCAGTGTACCGGTTGCCCAAAGGGTGTTCCTCGGACCATCAGGGATTCCAAGATTAATCATGTAGGATGGAAGAATTCCACGTCCATGTACTGTTCAGTCAGCATTTTTAACCCCCCAACATTCTTCTTTCTGTGCCCTGCCCCATCACCAGCCACTTCTCCCACCGAATGATGGATTTGATAGAACAGAGCCCGAATTGAGGGAATTGTGAAATTCTCTTGCGATTTCTCGGCGCTGCTTGAGAAAGTTGTGAATAGTTTGCTGTTTCCCCCCCCTCTTTGTGTAACACCTGTCTTGAAAATAAAACTCTCTGACGCCTGCTGTATTTTACCTTCGGTTTTTACTGCAACCTGGGGATTTCCAACCTTGCCCTGGCTGGGTGGAAGGTCTCTGTCAGTGTGTAAACTCTTTTTTGGGGGGGCCAATTTAATTTAAGGACCAGCTGCCACAAAGTTGTCGTAGCTTGTCACCTGATGAACAAATACAGGTCAGGGATTTCTTGTCATAGTGAACCCCTCTGCAACTTTTCTTCCAGGCACAACATGAAACACCAGTTTGGACGCCAAAACACTGCTCTCAACAACTCTGCTTGAATTCACTACTTCCAAAATTTATTCCTTTGAGGGTTGAATGTCACAAGCTGGGAATTTCACACAGAGAAAATTATATCCAATATTTTATTCACAGCAAATTTACAAAGGAGCACAATAGTAGATGTTCAGCTCAACTCACCTCTCATTTAGCATAGTTCAAATGTACAAATCATTGTATTTACAAATACAAATTTATTAGGAAATAATAAAACCATTGGGTAGGCTTACTCGGTTTTGTTTCAAAACAAATTCTTAAGTTTTGGTTAAAAGCATAGACACCCTATAGTATTCTGAGCTTTGATGTTTTCCATAACAACTGTTTTAAACTGTGCAGATTACCGAAGATCCACAAAAGTACAAAACTATTTTGCATACCAACAGTGTTTGTATACAAAGGAAAGGAGCTGAATAGAACAATAGGATGGATTGAAACAATGGAAGGCATAAGACATTTAAGTTTAGACATTAATACAATAAACCAAACAAGACCAGGAAAAGTGGTTTTTTTTCTGTACAGTTTTGAAGAAGATGAAACCTTGTCATGCCCAGGAAATGTAATTTAAAGCAAGGCATGCCTCTGTGTTCGTAATTCTTCAACGGACCAGTTTATAAATCCAATCAAAATAGGCGACAATATTTCTCTTCATGGTTTTTGTTAAGCAGGTCTTACTTCTGTAATAACAAAAGGAAGAAATGCTTCATAAGAGAAACCACTGAATATATTCCCTCCTGAATTGCTGTACGGAAATTCACATTTTTGCATTTTAGGATCTACTGCAAATGTTTTTTTTCCCTGGCCGCATTCAAGGAACCAAGCTACCACATAACTTCTGTATTGTCAACTTTGTTGTGGGACATTCTTGGTTATTTTTTCACGCACCATATGGCTGATGATTTCGCCATGCCTGCATCCTGTAATCCAACTCTAACTTTGTCAAGCCCCAGTCTTTCTGCCAAACACAGGTGACTTTGGAAATCTGCCCACACAAACTCTGGATATTGTGTACTTCTGCGTAGTTCATTTCTACATGTATATATACAATTCTCCCCAGAGGATAAAAATACAAAAGAAGATCGCTTTGGTGTCTGTTTTATTTTCAGGTATTTAAAATATGTGTAGGCATGTAAAATTAATCACTTCCTTTTTGGTTTTCTACATTATTTGCTATTCGAATGAGACTGGTGGTTTTTTTTTACCTTAACCACAAAAATATACACATGTACAGTTTACATCTTAGCCTGGACATTAAATGTTCTGGTGTTTCTGGTAAAGATTAGCAATTTCAAGTGCATAGATATCACCAAAGTGCAAGGGACCCTCTCAAACAATTTGCACATCTGTTGTGCATATCAAGTTGACTTAATTGACTGGGCATTTTTGTTTTTTCATCGGTGATTGTAAAAATTAGTTTTATTCATTACATATGTTTTCTAGCACTCCTGTAAGGACTTAATGGGCCAAGAAAGCTTTGCAGTAAATTTGACCACTCAGTCCTTCATTATTTCCACCAAAATCCTCTTCGAGGTGACCCCCCACATGGTGAAATTGACGACACCCAATTCTCTCACCAGGTGGGAGTGGACCACTGGTCACTGCGGAACATTCCATTTCCTTAGCATTGGGCCTAACTGATCCATACAGTTTGCTGTGTTGGATATGTGAATCGTCTCACAGCCCCCACAGACTTTTATGTATCAGCTTCAACTTCTCCTCGTAGTGTCCTAATGATCACAGTAATATCCCCCCCCCACAATTTTGATGATGATTGTAACTCAGACAGTGATTAACCCGAGAGTCCTGGATTTGCGGTGAGAGACCCTTTTTTTCCCTTTCTGATTAGCCTCCTTTACTCCGGAGCAATTTGCCACAACCTTGCCAGGAGGTCAGTGTGATAGGTGTTTGCCGAAGGTCCGTTACATGTACCTCATAAATCTCTCTCCCTCTCAGTCCATGGTCTGTCCTCTTTGAAATTACCAATGAGAAATTGCCCTGGATTTTTTCCTCCCGATTTCCTCTCCCCCCCCTTCTTTTTTCTCCCTCATTTTTGGTTTCCTTGACTGAAGGAATTTATTGAACGGTGCACAGGGTTTGTCGTCATTTTGTCGAGCCCCATAAATACTTGTCCGTATCACTTTCCTGAAGTCAGATTTAAAGGTTTTCTTGGGGGGGGGTGACCTAGTGCCAAGCCCCGTGAAATATTTTTATTTCACACATCCATGAATCCTGTTTAAAACAAGCTTTCTTGTTTACATACTATTCCTTAAGTTTCTTAAGGTTCAGGCCACTTTGCATGAAGATTGAGTCTGTTTCAAGTCACACATCCGTGTTTTGATTATGTACCCCCTATATGAGTACATAGTGGAAAGCTGTAGGCCTTATAAATCAAATGCTTCACAAGAGAGTGTTATTTTTTTTATTTTCACGGGCTCTGTGCATTAATCATTGGCGAGCTAAGTAGCCTTGTGAGATCCAACTCAAGCAAGGGCCCATAAAAATAGGCATGGTCTTTGCCATTGGTGAAATTCTGGCTTCATCTCAGGCTTTGATTTCATCTTGCGCTCTAGTCTTAGAATCACAATGGAACCAAATGAACTGAAGCTGTCTTGAAATTTACGAGAGGAACACCCCCAGTGTTGGCACTCGACAGAAAGAAACGGCACTTTGAGTGTCCTCACATGTTAGGAACTGTGGCTTCTAAGCCACTAGAAGGTCATGTTAAGACAGAGCCCATGACTTAATAGTACTATCATGAGTTGATGTAGAGGCCATGCATCAATGTGTTACAGAGTGGATGAGAAACCAGACACACAAGACTAATGTCTGCAGGGTGTATGATGTTCTAATTCTGGTGCTGCTGTTGTCATCGTTTTCTGATGTCACCGTGATGTCCATGAGGGGATTGACCCCAGCACAGTGTCTGACAGGACTCTGGTAGGAGGTCGGCTGCTCCTGCAAGGAGCTCTGGTCCGGGTATCGCTCCCCACTGAAGAGGAGTGCCCTCCCGTCCCGCCCCTGCTCCATCCTCAGGAGTTCCTTCTCGGCGTAGGGCAGCGTGACGCCGATCACCGTGCAGCCACCGGTGCCCGTCACCTCCTGGGGCTGGTTCAGCCGCCAGGAGCCCCGCGCCCCACAGTCGCCGTCGTTCTTGTTCATCCTCGCCACCTGCTCCGAGCTCTGGGGCGTGATCCACATCCGGGAGGTCAGAAACTCAAACTCGGTCCCACCCGGGACCGCCTGGGAGAGCATGCCGTCTGAATGGGTGCCTTTGACGTAGAGGCTGTAGACGGGATGGTGGCAGAGGGGGTCACGGAAGTAGAAGAAGTAGCCCTCCCAGGTGTAGTTGTTGTGGAAGACGAGATGTCGGATGACAAAGTGGACCTTGCGCACTTCGCAGCGCGTGCTGACCCACTCACTGCGGAGCGTCACCTGGTACTCTGCCCTGGCCGGCAACAGCGGTGGATTGAACTCTTCCGTGTTGTGAATCAGCTGACAGAAGCTGCAGTTGGCCTGAAGAAATAAACAATAAATCAGGAAATTTAAATTGGCAGATTGCAATATCAACAGAGTATCGCCATACACCCTGGTGTCCATCAGACTCTCCAAGTGGAAGAAAAAAACCCATATCGTGTTCAACTTTGGAGGCAACTTCAGGGAAACATGAGCACACATGAACATGTCATGACTGGGCAAAGTTTAATAAAAAGGGAATATTACCACCAATCTTTGTTGATTTTTAAGAAATACATGTGGGCTATTCCAGAAATTAGGGGTCCATGTTTTTTCATGTCCCTGTCACATATGACAGGGACAGAACACCGTTTCTAATTTCCACGAGTGATGAATTTATGCAAATTACCTGCCAAACAAACAGGAAGAGTTTGAAATCAATTCCACTGATCTTTCCATGTCAAATAACAAAGGTCAGATGTAACAGGGACACAAAAATATTACACTTTTGGACCCCTAATTTCTGGAATCACTTATGTACATGTACTTTTCGTGAATGTCCTCTTATTATGAGCAGGCAAACTGTACGTAGTTGTGTAACATTTGAAAAAACCTCTGACAAACAAAAGTAAAAGCTCCAATATCCAGTTAGTACCTACAAAATCCAGACAAGAATAAGATTTTTAAAACTTGTCTCTAAAGGGATTTAAAGTTTAGAAAATAACCCCTTCAGGCATATTGGTACTTGTGTGGGAATACTTTTGAGGTCAGTCAATTCACCTTTAACAATCATTGCAAATTTAGAGCAAGGTGATAAAAATGGGCCCATTGCAGTTAACCTTGCGAGCGGCACGAATATGGGACAGATTTATGCATCATTTGCCAAACTTGTAAATTGCCTCCTTGGAAAGGCTTTGAAACTTTTGCTGTTAGATTCATCAGATGGGGTAAGCAAAGAATCCTTGGGCAGTGATGGCTTCACACCATCGCCATCACCAGCGCTTGCTCTCCGTGTCCACCTTTTAGTTTGTACAAATCGACTTTGGGGGGGGAGGAAGAAATCAATGCCACTGCCACCTGTGCGGTTTCAGCCCACGCTGGTCCATCGATTCAGCCCTCCGACCCACAGAGAAACCGCGGGAGTGTTTGGCTTTATAATTAATTGATATGACTATCCGGTTATAAAAATATTGACCCGGGGATAATTCAAGCACGAATGGAAGGCGGCCCTAATTGATTTAGAGAAATTACACCTGCATTAGCTCCTCATTAAAGCTGTTTTTACGCATCCTTTGCATTACCCACACATTCTCAAAGAGCCTTAGCAATGTTAAGGCATTTTTACAAAGAACATTCATCCTGAATACTTTAAAGTTTGTAATATTTAATAGATTTTCAGTTAAGTTGAGATGAATTCTGCATTCTTCAAGACATGGCAGTTTTAGTCAAAAGTTTGTCAAAGAATTTGGTGATGCATATCTTTGTTTTCATCTGGAACAAAGATTCTTGATGCCTAGAACTACAGTATCTTTGTCCTCAAAAGTTGATAACTTGCCCAGTTTATCACTTAAATGTTCAGGCCAGAATCATGCCAGCATCAGGGCACTTTCCCTACCACTCTGAAAAGCCCAGCTTTCCACCCTTTCCATTTCATGTAGACGTCAGAGATGTAAAACAAAATTTGTAAGCAAACAAAACCTGTACGCAAGTTTCCTTCCACCAGTAACTTTCTCATAGAAGAGCGCGCCCCCACAAAACTTGCCACCCTGGTGGAGAAACACGGGCCTCATTGTCCCGCGGAGTGGAAACAACCAGGGCCACACCTGCCTGGCCCGGATGGCAAGCTACATTTCTCCCCCCTCCCTCCCCACTTCCGTCTCGTCATTAGTCCGCCCCAGCGCTTACAAAAATATCACACCATCCAATGCTATCAGAACTTACGCACGCCTGATGAACTGGATCGGGCCCAAATGAGAAATTGTGATCAGGGAAAATAACGTCGGAAGATTCTTTTACAGATGAAGAGAAGGATGGGAAGGGGAACTGATAGCATATGGTCCTGTGTCGGTGTTGTGGCAGCTGTCAAAATGTAGCGCCGTGTGTTTCCTCTTACACACTTCATTAGAATCCAGTTTCCAGAGTGTGTTACGGACCGTGAGAAGAGGAGGCCAGTGCAAAACGAGCAACTCCTTGGATATTGTCTTGCATCATAACGGAAGCAAGTTTCGGGTTCTGAAAGCTGGAATAACAAATAGAATCTAATGCAAATGCCCTTTTGAAATATCTTCTGTATCTTAAAGTACAATTAATTTTGCATGTGTCTATTTTTATTATGCGTGATTAGTAAGAAACGCCAAATAAGAAAATATGCATTTACATGTAAATGTAAGTCCAAGGAAACTTTTTTCCCGCACTGACTATAGTAAAGTAAAAAATCATTCACACTTTGCACAATGTCCATTCACAGCTCTAGTGCAAAATGATGACTTGCGAGGATATATTGTTTCCAATCCTTGTAGCTAAATCTCTTCCGTCGGGGTAATCCATCTGGATATTTGAGAAACTGGCAACTACCGGAATATGTCATGCCCCAGTCTTGGGCCCGATGTACACGACCAGATCACTTTCCCCTCAGATGATTGAAACATAACGAGCAGTCTTGTTCCTGCGTGTTTGGACAGGGTAATCAAAGAGCCGGTCTACGTGATCGAGGGTGCATATCGGTGTTAGGCACACAGCGGACCACGTCCCCGCCAAGCTACACGTGTATGAGCGTGCAGCTAATATAAGCAATGCATAATCTCTATTAGGGCCCATAGGGGTTGTCATCTGCCGGGTACAATAAACCAGTTTTTCCCCCATTTCCGCAACTCCAAATCAGTGATCGGGCGAATCACTCTGCAGCACCCACCGCTCGGAGCAGGCTAGCTTAAAGGGACGATCGACAGGACCTTCTAGGGGACAATCACAAATGCATGTCAGTTGAGGCTGTCTGGTTTTTTTTCCTGGACTTTTTAAGTTGGGGAGTCAATCGATGGTAAAAAAAACAACCATGAATTATTCATACATGTAGTAAATCATGCAAATGTGCAGCACAAATCTTTTCATCTGAAACCAGGCCATGAACTGTACTTGGCAGAATAGCGCTGACATTTCTAGTTTAGTCTGTAAAACCATGTTATCTGAGCGCATTTTTTAAACTTAGCATTGACTCACCTGTATGCACAACATACGATTGTAGCCTTGAGTTTTGAAGTCTGGTATAGTCATCGCTTTGTCCAGCATAACCAATGAGATGATTGGTAGGCTCATTGTGTGGAGAACGAAACTGAACTGTTCGTCTTGTTAACTGCAAGTTTTGGATTGGCTCCATGGTGGTAACAGAGTTGACTGAATATTAAGAAATTCATAAGCTCCAGATTACAAGCTTTCCACTCTTTAAAGAAAAGTCTTTTCTCTGTCCGTGTGGTCTCTCCACCGTCTTGGAGCTGACAGTTCACTGAAAACATGTTGTCCCATTCCCCAGCCCCCTAACTGAATTAAAACTTTCTTCTGAGACTGGATAACCAGGTCAAGTAGGCTCCACACAGGCGTAAAACAGCAGGACCCTAGCCAGAAAGCACATCTCAAAAAGGTATGCTCGGCCACTTGGCGACCTCCAGGGTGGATCCTCTGCCCCCTCCCCCCTTAAAAAATGTCTTTGACCAAATGGATCCGCAGACAGAGATGGACGGATGTTTTCTTAAATAGAGTTCCTCAGAAGCTTCCAGCCCATCTCCGTCACCTTGTTTGCTCACATGCTTGCAGCCGTCTGCCTGTCTCGTCTCAACAGATCCCTCCTCCCCCAGAGGTTGCAATTTTGCCAGGAACCGAACGTCCAGGATATATTTTCCCCTAATATCGTCAAGTATTGACTCTGCTTGCTTGTTCCCTGCATCTGTCCCTCAACTTCCAGTAAGAAAAAAAGAAGTCCCTGGTATGCTACTAAATTAAAGCAAGGAAAGCCTTTTTCCAAAAGAAAAGAAGCAGATGTAATCTTTCCACCGCATACATCAACAGCACCGCTGTTGATCTTCACTTCTGCCATCTCGCATCCGTCTGTCGCTGTAGGTTTTTTTTGATGTCTGCCAGTAAAAGCCTGACGATGTTTACTGGGAATTTCTCTGCACAACATCTCTTGTCCGTGGCCCGTGTCTTGTCCCAGGTCGCATCACGGATCCCAGGATGCAGTGGATGTTTGCATAACCCCTCAGGGGTTTCAAGCCACGCTCTCGTTCTCTCTCTCTCTCTCTTTCCCGTAAAAATACTCGCCTTCCTCACAATTGTTTTCCCCCTTTCCAACTTTCCCAAGCGAAACAAAGTGGGGAGGGGGGGCTCAAAATCCTTCCTCTGTGTTGATCCTGCTAATCTTCTTAGCAAGTCTGTAATTACTTAGTGGGGTCTTCGGGGGCATTTTGTTAATTTAAAAGAATGGGTAGTCTGTTTGCTCTTCAAATATTATTCCACAGTTATTCACGAGAGGTGTTGTAATCACTTAAAAATAATGCTACACATCCTCATCAAATGTTGCTCTTGTCAAAAGGGTTGATGCAATCACTGAACAACGAGCCCCTGTCCCTAATCCAGCACCATGCTGTATCCTTTTGGGATCCTGAGCAATCACTTCCATTCAAGATGTGTCTTGGCCCAAGGAAACTAATTAGAGTGGTCTCATGAGGAAACCTCTCGAGAGTTTTCTACACTCTTTCATTTCCTTTGGTTTTGCAATTATTGCCACAAATTTGTCCTGTGAACCTAAAATAACAATCTGTTTTCTTGTTGCCCTTTTATACATTTAATCAGTAACATCAAGCAGTAGATGAAAGCCAATCTTTTAATTCAAAAAATTCAAATCTTACTCCTCTCCTGATCACTTCTCCTAGATTTTAGGTGCAGACATGGCCAACAGAGGGCAGTATTTCTGTTTGTCATTTCCAAGAATATTAAATAAGCCACAAAGGGTCACCACAACACTTCGCCATGCCCATGACTGTACATGTATCTAAACCAAAACCCCCAAC